GTCGGTCTCCTTCTCATCACATGCCAGTGGAAGGAAGAGCAGCAGCTGTCGCCATTTTGTAATTTAATTGTATCATTGTATCATTGTTTTATTAAACGCTGTCAACTTGTAAAAAGGCTTCCTATCTTTTTGGCTAATCCTGGGCTCAGAGCTAAAAAAAAAATATATATATAATATATAATAAAATAAATGCATAATGGAGAGTTAGTTACACATGTCANAAGGTAAACCTGGTTTAAATACCGAGATTTTAGGTCCAATAAGGTAACCAATGTATGAAAACACGTTGACAAACAGACCTTACATAACGTAACACCACCATCAACTGACCGTACCTCCCTACACCGGCGAGCTTACAGGCGGGGTCCCGGACGTTGGGGGGGGGGGGGTGTGGTGTAGACTCCCTTACACTCCCCTTTAGAGTGTCTCCCTTCTTGTTATTTCCATACCGTCCCTCGCTGTTTTTTGTTCCTCATTAAGTGAAAAGGTAATTTTTGTCGTCTCGAGGTTACACTTGTCACCTGTCCCAACTAGGTAGGTGTCTTAGGGGGACTTGAGGGAGTCCAGAAAATTTGGTTGTTACCCGACTAATACCCCGTTGGCTAGTTCCTACTTCCTCGCTTCGTTTTATACGTTTCATACACAATGTGTTCGTGTGCGTGTTCCGTGCGTGGTGTCGTGTGTGTCGTTGTGTGTGTGTCATCAGTCGATAGTCAGCCGGGTAAGTCCTCCGATGCTCATCGGGACAATCTCAAAAGACAGGTGGGAAGACTTAGCGAGGGGGGAAAAAGCGGACCCTTTGAGCTCCTGCTCCCATTGTGTGTTGGGAAAAAAACACTCCAGAGAGAAGAGAGAGAGAGAGAGAGAGAGGAGAGGAGAGGAGGGAGGGGGGGGGGGGGGGCCTGGCTTCGATGACGACCTGAAGGGAAGTTAACCTACTCAAAAATTTTCTTCTCCTTCACGAACACGTAGAAGTAGAGTGGAGACCGGAAGAGAAAGTAAAAATATAAAAGTGTCTTTCCTAATCACCACTCAATGTATAAGTGTAATGTGTACTTAAACCTATTACCTAGTTTGTGTGCCCAAAACCACACAAGAACCCACTTCTAAAGACTTTATATTAGAAACCTTAAGACATACATTCAAGTGCAACAAAGAGACCAGGTAGAAGCTACATATCCAAATTATTGTTCAGCACAAAATTTAGACAGACCACTACAGAAATGACGGACCAAGATCCCAACAGAAATCCCTGAAAAATCGAAGAACCGGTCAAATTTTATGTTCAAGTAGTTTTTCCCTTAGGGAATGCAGTGAAACTAAAAACTGTTTCCATTGTAATGAAAATTTAATTCTCATTGATCCGTAAAGACCTTGAAAATAAAAAACGGGAAGGAACGTAATCTGCGTGTGCCTGTTGGCTAGGTGTTTGTGTAATGACAAACACTTCGGCATTACAGGAAGGCAACAGCCACCTCACCCTTGTAAAAACATGCTAGGAAGACCCGCACGACCACGCAAAAGCACAACGTTCCATACCACTTTCCCAAGGGTCTACCAGTTTTCACCCAGTTCATCGCATTCCTAAGAAAACTACTGAAAAAATAACATTCTGACCCGGTTTCTTTCGATTTTGCAGGATTTTTGTGGAAATCTTGGTCCCGTCATTTCTGTAGTTTGTCTAAATTTTGTCTAAAGTAAAGGCTAAAATAATCTTTTAGAAAGTTATAGTGCTTCTAACTGGTCGACCTTTTTGGTGATACTTACTATCATTCTAGTCGGGAGGCCTTGTAGGCACACAAACAGAATAGGTTTAAGTACAACATTAACTTAATCACATGAGGTACCGACGATTCAGGAAAGACAACCAGTGGTCAAACTCTTCCGCTTCTACTTCCTCTTTCCGTCTCACCTCCTACTTCTACACTTTCCGTGGAAAGGGAAAAGAAGAAAATTTTTTTGAGTACGGTTCAACTTCCTTCCAAGTCGCTCGAAGCCAGGCCCCTCCTCCTCCCTCTCCTCCTCTCTCTACCTCTCCTCTGCTCCTTCTCCTGAGGGTTTTTCCACAACACGACACATGAAACGCAGGAGTCAAAGGTCCCTTTTTCCCCTCGCTAGTCCTTTCCCACCTGTCCTGAGAATGTCCCGATGAAGGACATCGAGGACTACCGGGCTGGCGACTATCACTCTAAGCTGACACACGCCCGGGGCAACAACACACACACACACGACCACACACACGCACGAACACACACGAACACATGTAAAAACGTATAACAAAACGAAGCAGAAAGGAAACTACGAACGCGGTTCGATTAAATCGGTAACAACAAATTCTGGAACTCCTCAAAGTCCCCAAAAACTCTGACCTAGTTGGACAGTCGACAAGTGAACCGCTCGAGACGACAAAAAAATTAACTTTCACTAATGAGAACAAAAAACAGCGAGCGGACCGGTATTGAAATAACAAGGAGACATCAAAGGGAGTGTAAGGAGCCTGCCACCACAACCACCGCACCCCAACTCGGACCACAGTCTCACTTTCCAACGGTCAAACTTAGCCCTCCCCCGGTGAGTCACTGTCTAATATTGTGATTAGTCAGTTTATGTTGTGTCGTCACGTTATGTAAGATAGGACCGTGTAATGATATGTCAACGTTTTTTTTTCAAACACTTGGGAAACTTATTGACTAAAAGACGTATTTAACCCAGTATTTTACCTCCTTCGGCCTGACGACAGCGGTCTTCTTTGTACCGGACGTGCAAAACTTCAAACGTTCTCGTGGACCGGAGTGGCTCGTGGACCTACAAGTCGTGAATGCCGTTTTATTCAAGAGCGAACCTGCCTACTTCTGGTTTCAACTAAAAACCGCGCTGTCCAGAAAAACATTGCTGCATGTTTGAAGTTTGCAAAAGAGCGCCTGGATGTTCCACAGCACTACTGGCAAAATATTCTGTGGACAGATGAAACCAAAGTTGAGTTGTTTGGAAGGAACACACAACGCTATGTGTGGAGAAAAAAAGGCACAGCACACCAACATCAAAACCTCATCCCAACTTTGAAGTATGGTGGAGGGAGCATCATGGTTTGGGGCTGCTTTGCTGCCTCAGGGCCTGGACAGATTACCATCATCGAGGGAAAAATGAATTCTCAAGTTTATCAAGACATTTTGCTGGAGAACTTAATCTGTCCACCAATTGAAGCTCAACAGAAGATGGGTGATGCAACAGGACAACGACCCAAAGCACAGAAGTAAATCAACAACAGAATGGCTTCAACAGAAGAAAATAGGCCTTCTGGAGTGGCCCAGTCAGAGTCCTGACCTCAACCCAATTGAGATGCTGTGGCATGACCTCAAGAGAGCGATTCACACCAGACATCCCAAGAATATTGCTGAACTGAAACAGTTTTGTAAAGAGGAATGGTCCAAAATTCCTCCTGACCGTTGTGCATGTCTGATATGCAACTATAGGAAACGTTTGGTTGAGGTTATTGCTGCCAAAGGAGGGTCTACCAGTTATTCAATCCAAGGGTTCACATACTTGTTCCACCCTGCACTGTGAATGTTTACATGGTGTGTTCAATAAAAACATAAAAACATATTGTTTGTGTGGTTTTAGCTTAAGCAGACTGTGTTTGTGTATTGTTGTGACTTAGATGAAGATCAGAACACATTTTATGACCAATTTATGCAGAAATGCAGTTAGTTCCAAAGGGTTCACATACTTTTTCTCGCAACTGTATATCTGCTACAGAATATTTCAAACTTTCAGAGGTGTTTATTTCAGTTATAGTCAGTTCGGAGGCTCCTGTGTGTGCTGTTGGATTGCAATAGACAGACAGAGAGATGTTTCTAACATCAGTTACAATGAATTATTAAACATTAGAAACTATAGCCTCGGAAGAAACCATAAAGTTTAATCTGCGGGTGCAATTTAAAATCATTCACAGTATTGGTGAATCTGCCAATCATTTTAATGCCTACACAAAAATGTGAAATATGCTAATCACAATTTCCTTCCAGAAATCTTATCTTATTCAACCAGCTGTCCAAAACCTAAATACCTACTATAGAATAAGAACTTTTAATATATATAATATATTTTGCTTGCATATTCTGATTCTCTCAAACAGTTAAAAAAAGAAGATCATTATGACATTCTTGACTGTGGGATTTATTGCAGGGCTGTTTCATCGACTGTGTTAAATAGACTTAAACCGCATGGTAATAAGGGAGTTTTTGGGGTCATTTATTTGCAGCTGGTCAGAGTCGGGCATGATTTCCTGTTAGTGTATGCTAGGCCTTCTGGCTCTTTCTGTAGATCCATTTTTAATGTACGAGTGGTTTTCCTTTGCTGTGAGCTAGTAATAAACAGTTGACTGGCAGTACGCATGTTTGTTTCCTGAGGAACAATGCCAAATGTTTTCGTCCTACAATTAAAACGTTTTACAGTCTTTTCTGTATGCTCTCATTGATGCTGATTTGTCAACAAGCTCTTTCTATGCAAAGAGGTTCACCCAAAACTGGAAGTCAGGATTGCGTACATGTGTGCACATCTACAGGAGGATCTTTGTGAAACACATTTCACATTTTCAGTTACTGTCACTTTGTGCCAGTTACATCTGTCTAATGATGACATTCACAGGTCTGTTTCACCACAAACCAACACACGCACACACACACACACACACACACGCACATGCACATTCATGTACACACACAGCTGTTGACCAGAGTAACCCTTCTTGAAACTGCTAAAAGGGAAGTGGCTTACCTCCACATCTCTCTTTGTCTTTGCTTATCTCAAGCTGTCTCTCTCTCATTTTTTTTGTAGCTGTCTCTGTCTCTCTCTTCACACACATCTCTTTATTCACGCTTTAACGCTCTTGAGCATTTCTCTCAGATTCTCAAAAACCTTCTTCTTCCCAGGTTTTCTGCCACTCATCTTCTCTCTCATTCGGCTTCTTGTCCCTCACCACTTCCCTCTTTTTTTCCCAGTGGCGATGGTGATTGACAGATGATCTGATAGAGGACAACATCAGGTGAGAAACAAAAGTTGACTTCTCCTTCCGGCCTTACCTCCAACCTCCACTTCTTCCTCCTCCTGCTTGAGGGAAGTAGTTTGTTACTTCTCTCTTAACACTTCTCTTAAGTTAATTGACCACCTGCATGTTGTTGATGTGTGATACTTTCACTTTCTGTCAGTCTGTGTTTGAAGTCTAGACAGGAACTAGTAAAGATTATAAGTTCACAATGTTTTCATTTTTTTATATTTACATTTTCAATCCTCTCTATTTAATTTTGTTAAGAAGTGGTTGTCATGATATCTTAAGTCGTTGAATCATTGTACTAAAGGGGAGACACCATTTTAAACATTATTTCAGCTTACTTGTTACAAGGAGTGCTGCTCAGCCTGAAGTTGTATATTCAGTTGTTATTTCTTCTGTGACTAAAGGAGATTTCCAATATGTAAACAAAAGAATATCCCATAGGAGCTAAACCTTTAGTGACCTGGCTGACGCGCTGTACCGTGTGGATAAGAAACTGTATGTTTTGTTGCCTCAATGAAGAATGAACAGGCTTGTCTTCGGTTGCAGCATAATACAATCTGTTTTCTTTCTTCTCGTAGCATATGTCATAAGTCCATATCCATTCATATTCCATTAATTTAATAAATCGAACAGTACCTACAAAACACTCGCACACAGAGGTCAAAAACAATATGCTCTTCCGGGGTCAAACACAGTCAATGATGTGATACGACACACCCTAAATACCTATACCCAAGTGATAGGACAGCGACACACGTTGGCACACACAGTAAATAACACACCATCGTCTCTGACACCTGTCATCAGGGTTACTGCGGCTTGGGATTCGACAGAACATTTTTGTTTTGAACTGGAAATATGGGTTTTGAAAAGTGGTCAGGTTAAAGATATTATTTGGTTGCATTATGGGAAATGTAGGATCCGGTGTTTCTGGAGAGTAACTCATGCGTAGTATTATTTTACACGGGTTAATTTGTTTTTATTCTAAATAAACCTTAGGGTGTTATCTCTGAAAACAGAACATATTGTTACTTAAGATTATTATATTAAGGTAAAATTAGATAAGAGAAACTACATTCATATCTATTGGCAAAACAAATATGGTACATGGTACAAAAATATAGTGCAATAATAGAAATATATATATATATATATATATACTGTATATATATAAAAACAAATTTCAAGTGCAATAAACAACAGTAAAATCAGTTGAATGCTCCCTGTAGATGTATATTTATAAAGAATTTGCTACAACAAACAGCCTACAGCACCAGGCAGCAATGAATACAATAATACATTGACATTTACATAGAGAGAAATAGTTGTGGAGTGTTTGTTTAACTCTGCTTGCTTTCACAGACGCTGTCTCCGTGCTGGTTATTATGGGGTGTGCCTGTTGCAAGCAGAAAAAGGCGGCCAAAGCAGTAGCATCAGCGGCAGGAGTGGATGCTACAGATCTGTCTCCTAGCAACGCAGATGGAGGCTTGTCCGCGGCCTTGACTCAGGGCCGTTACTGTCCCGACCCGACGCAGACCATCCCCGACTTCAACAAGGGCTTCTCCTCCAGCGCCATCTTCCCCAGCACCGCCGCACACCTGCGGCCTGGAGGCGTCACAAGTAGGGCGGTCTAACGGTTTTATCGTGTTAGCTAGAACCAGGAAGGTGAAAATAACTATATTACCAAGTACAGGGTGCCATACATGTATAGTAGAGCAACCAAGTGCTTCTTCAGTTACAGATATTCAACTCGGTACATGTGCTGCCAGCTCTACCAACTGACCTATAGGGCAGCCCATTAAAAACGTTCAAACTATTAAAAACAAGAGAAACCGTGATCACATCATCGTCATTAGAGGGTTGTTCTCTTCTGTCTTTAAAGCAACGTCTTTAATCAATGCTCACAAGCCAATATGTACATCGAGAGACTTATTGGAGCTTTAATTGTTTCTCCTCTTTATACTGGCCCTGAGTCTGGCCACATATTTATCCAAGAAACAAAAACCCATAGTGCTTGTTTGTGGAAAAATGCATTTTAAAATTCAGTCAGCTGATATGAAGCTTCTATCAAGTTACAATCTTTTTTTATTTACTGAGATGCGGCAAAATCCGATCATCGTTTTGTTCAGCCTCTTTTAATGTTGACTGAGTGACATTCCTCCGTCAGGCAGTTAGCAAAAAAAATGCATCTAGAGTTACACTTCAAAAGAGTACAATATATTTAAAAAATACGTTTTAACAAAGCAAAACATTTTTGACAGATGGATGAGTGGGTATTGTGATATTGACAGTAATCTTGAATAAATGAAACATATATGTATGTATTCTATGAAGGTATTTCTTCACAGTGAGTGTTGACGAGAGGAAATGTTAATAAGTATCTTAAGGAACCTTCAGCTTATCACTTTAAACATTAAAACCCTAAATGATAGATAGGTACGAAATATGTGTATAACAGGAAACTCTTCTCTTGTTGTGGGTTTGTTTGTATGTTTGCAGGTTGTGGAGTCACTCTCTTTATAGCTCTGTATGACTATGACGCCCGCACTGAAGATGACCTCACTTTTCAGAAAGGAGAGAAATTCCAGATTATCAACAACACGTAAGTAAAAACAAACTACCATTTGTTAACAGATGTTGGGGAAAACTCCGACAGGATTGTAATGACACATTGCAAATAAAAACAAGACAAAAGGAATTGGTTGCCAACAAATAAAGGCTAACTTTAGGTGTAAAATAAGGTCAATTATAACTTTCTAAAGGTATGAACATTCTGTTCAATATCCCCTATTAATTCATGCTTTAGTTTAGAATAGTATGTCATCAGCAATCTCCAGTCTTTCTGAAATATACACAGAATTAATCAACTGAAAAAGAAGTTTGCAGGATTTTGTCCTCATATTTTCTTTCTTGTGTTTCGGGGATTATTTCAGAGAGGGCGACTGGTGGGAGGCTCGCTCTTTGGACACAGGCCACTCAGGTTACATCCCCTCCAACTACGTAGCTCCTGTCGACTCTATACAGGCAGAAGAGTGAGTATACACCATCGTATACACACACGTGCACATGCACGCACACACGCACGTGTACAAACACACACACTAGTGAAAGCTACATCTGCTGCAATATAAGTAACGACACTTTAAGTTGGAAGATTGTCTCTTTGATTGACAAGTAGTGTGAGGTCAGAGGTTAAAGGATGTGAGCTGTTGCGATGCTGACCTGTGTTTTGTTGTCATGGTCACAGGTGGTATTTTGGGAAGATGGGGAGGAAGGATGCGGAGAGACAGCTGCTGGGCCATGGCAACCAGAGGGGGACTTTCCTCATACGAGAGAGCGAGACCACTAAGGGTAAAGAGCACGCACGCACGCACGCACGCACACGCGCACACGCACGCACACAGACAGAGAATATATGATAGCTTTCAATTTTTCTCTCTTTCTATTCTTCACCTCTCCCCCACTTTATGCTTCTTTGTCCGCCTTCGTTAATCACGCTCTACCCCTCTCTCTCTCTACAGGTGCTTACTCTCTGTCTATCCGTGACTGGGACGACAACAAGGGAGACCACGTCAAGCATTATAAGATCCGTAAACTAGACAATGGAGGATACTACATCACCACCAGATCACAGTTTGACACGGTGCAGGAGCTTGTCGTACACTACACAGGTAACGCACACAAACACATGAAGCCAGACAACACAATTTGTTTCTTATCTCAAGTGTGTGTGTCGCCAGTTTATGATGCACGTCCATCCTGGCTAGTACTGTCATACTATAATTACCAGTGGTTGAAAGTAAATACTTTTACTGTACCTACAATTTTGAAGTACTTTTCAGTTTAACTGTTCAAATGTGTACTTTCAGATACAAACGATTTTGAACACATGACTTTTACTTGTATTTAACTTCCATGTACTTTATACAGCAAATGGTTTTAATACTTCTTCCACCACTGTGACCGTTAGCCACTTGTTATGCTTGATTCAGTTGTTGTAACAGGCAGTGTTCACACCCTCCACTTCCTCTGCTCTCTGTCTGTGTACATCTGCCCCCTAGTGGCTTTTGTCAATGAAGCAAAAACCCTGCAGTTTCTGACTTAACATTACAAAAGGATCAAAGCAAACAGAGAGATTTGGCCACATATCATTTACCTTTTTAAATAGATTTACTGCACTGTCGCTCGTTTCCGTCTTTTATGTGTCTGTACTTGCTGCTCACAATGTTTATGTTTTAGTGTTTCTTGTGCACTTTTGTATGATTTACTTGTCAGTTGCATAAGCGGATAAGCAATCTATCTTGTTCTTTTTTTTTACTCTGCATTTGCTGCTTTCTTCCTTGTTTTGTTTCCTTCTTGCTTTACTTTCTGCCTGCTTGTTTGTCTCTCCTCTGTCTCTCAGAGAGAGCGGCAGGCCTGTGCTGCCGTCTGATTGCCAACTGTAAGCGGGGCATGCCTAAGCTGGCCGATTTATCAGTGAAGACCAAGGATATGTGGGAGATTCCCCGTGAATCCCTCCAGCTGATTAAGAAACTGGGCAACGGCCAGTTTGGAGAAGTCTGGATGGGTATGAATGGTGGGACTGTATTGCAGTGGGGGAGGGCGACAGCAGGCGCACACCTGGATAAAATAAAGCATTAGAAGAACAACATGTTCAAATAACGCATTTAAGTCTTAGTTGTTTTCAGTCGACAAGAACATTGGTAAACACTTCTGGAGTAAAGACACCCACAGTAAAGCCCTGTTTATCTGTGGGTGTCGTTCAGTCTGCCTCAAATACACTCAACACACACACACAGTTGAAATATATTTAAAGGTGATGTATTGAATGGAACCTTCCACAATGAAAACCTTAATAATTCTCTGTGTGTGATAGAAATTGCACAGAAGCAAGTTAAAAAAGGGAAGTTAATACATAAAAAACATATTTATTCTACATCCAGGTGTGCAGAGTTGTTCCCCCTCCTCCCCTGTTGTTGCATGTGCATGTTTCATCATCTCACCTTACCTCTTTGTCACCCCCCCACCCATCTTTCTTCTATTCCCCCCCATCAATACACCCTTTTTCTCCCATTCTTCACACCCCACTTACACTCTTTCATTTCCCTACACCTTCACCCTCCTTTGCTCCTACCTCCTCCCCCCATAACAGGCTCTAATGATGGGCTGTGTTATTACCTTACCATGCCCTGTAAAAACTCCACCCCTCTCACCATGGGACTCGGGCGGGACGCCTGGGAGGTGACCAGGGATACGCTGTCCATGCAAAGGAAGTTGGGTCAAGGTTGCTTCGGCGACGTTTGGATGGGTGAGGCTTACACCGCCAACCTCTGACGCCCCGTACAGGCGAGAGGGAGAAATGTCTGTCCAGCGCTGTCCGTCTCTGTCCTGTAGCTAAGATTGTCAGTAATGCTTCACGTCATTTGTGTCAGTGTATGTAGGTAAAGTTGAATGTTTATCCCTATTGCTTGGTATTCCCACGTGATGTATTTCCAATTTTTGTTAGAATTGTCAAACAGTTTCACAAGCAAAATTCAGATGTGTTCACATTTCTGAATTTCTCCTCAAAGCCAGCCAAGCTATGTGCCTGTCCGTGTGCCTCAGGTACTGCTGGTGTTGATGTAAGATTAGAAAACCTCCATCCCTACTTACAGCTCTCTGTCTCATGTCATGCATGATCTTAGCACTCATTTGCATGCACTAGCAGTATAACCCTGTTTGTGTTATTGCCTGCATATTGTGTTTTTGTATATGTCCTAGTATACGTATAGTGCATATATGTACTGTATATACAGCCATCACATTGTAATTATGCCAGAAAATGGATGTGCATGCCTGCGCAGCATGTCCTTGTGTGTCCATGTGTGTATTAACATATCATTGTCTGTATGCCAGGCATGTGGAACGGCACCACCAAGGTAGCGGTGAAGACTCTGAAGCCGGGGACCATGTCCCCCGAGGCCTTCCTGGAGGAGGCTCAGATCATGAAGAGACTCCGCCACGACAAGCTGGTGCAGCTCTACGCCGTGGTGTCAGAGGAGCCCATCTACATTATCACTGAGTTCATGAGCCAAGGTACCAGGCTGAGTAGACTGTCATGCCTACCAATGTAGATACAGTGTGAATAACTGCTCTATGTTTGAAACCTCGCTGACTCTAAGAAATCAGCTCTTCAGAAATCAGCAGTGTTTTTTTTCCTTTAAGAGGAATATTTGAAAAAATGATGTAATAATTAATGTACAAAAGATGGATGAAGATGAATATAATAAATATACAGGATAATAGAAATAGATAACATTATATCAGTTATGATATAATTACTTAAATAATAATAATGCAACACCCTGTGCTGCAATGGACACCTCAAAGAATCAGCATCTGTTCAAAATTTCAACCATTCATAGAACAACAAATTGTTTTTATATTTGTGGACTAGCATCAGACAAGACATCAAACTGAAATGTTCAATAGTCAAGTCTTTTATCCTACATTCAAAACATTTGGTGGAAGGGAGGTACGCTTCAGGCTCACTTCCAAATATCATACTTTTACTTTTAGTTTGTATTACAGCTGCCATTAGAAAGTATCAACTGCTCCATGCTCTATGCATATAACTGGGACATCATTCTTGGTCCTTGAACCTTATGGCTAGCAGGACATTTGAAGTAAAAATGTGATTTGGAACACACTTGTTTATATGCTGGTGGTTTAGTCGGTGTGATATACTTTATACTGCACAGAGGATGATGGGGTAAAATAGCCAGAAAGCCTGGCTTGTAAAATGCAGCAGTAGGACATCCTGGTATTTCTGCCATACTGTACTTGGCTTATGTATTGGGATATGCCATATCTTTTTTTGGCATACTAAAGATTATATTAGTATTGGTACTGGAACGCACCCTGGACAATATCCAAATATCAAGGGATTCCCTTTGACCTGTGTGAAGGTAGCCTGGGGCAGGTAAAACATAAATTCAGCCTTCACACAAATATTTAGGATTAAAAAGTCTGGATGTTCATGCAGGACAAACACAGATATTTACTAAATAGTGTCACAATGAATTTTCAAAAAAATATCTGGATATGAATCGGACTATAATACTCATATCTGAGTTACAGGAGGCGTAAGGACTTCCAGTCATTATGTAACAATCTTTGTTTTTCAGGAAGTTTGTTGGACTTCTTGAAAGACGGAGAGGGTCACAGTCTGAAGCTGCCTCAGCTGGTGGACATGGCTGCACAGGTGAGTTCAACACAGACACACAAAGACAGACTTAAGGACATGTTTTCACTATCTCAATGATCTCTTTTCTCTCTCTGTGTGTGTAGATTGCAGCTGGGATGGCGTACATCGAGAGGATGAACTACATCCATCGTGACCTGCGAGCGGCCAACATCCTCGTTGGAGAAAATCTGGTGTGTAAGATCGCTGACTTCGGCCTGGCTAGGCTCATCGAGGACAACGAGTACACAGCCAGACAAGGTAACTACGTGAGATATTAAGTGTGTGAGTGTGAGAGACAGACAAATGATGAGAGCCACGCTTGCTCGGTGATGATGAGTGCGATGATTAAGAGTGTCTGCCTCTCCCTCCGTGCCTATATTTTTATACATAACCTATCCTAATTATATGATTATGCATCTTCACTGTGTTGCCATGGTTTCAGGGGCGAAGTTCCCCATCAAGTGGACGGCTCCTGAAGCGGCGTTGTATGGACGCTTCACCATCAAGTCAGATGTCTGGAGCTTTGGCATCCTGCTGACTGAACTCGTCACAAAGGGACGTGTGCCCTACCCAGGTACTGCTGTTTCTTAAACTCATGTAGCCTTGAAGAAACACAATCAATGTGCTGTGTGAGACTTATCTATATAGTTTACATTTTTTTAAGTAACAACTTTGGAAGTAAACATTCTGTTGCTGTTATAATTTTTCACTTAGTAAATGGGACAAGAACACATTTTTCTCACATAAACAGCCTGGACAGGTGATTAAGGTTAAAGAGTTTTTAAAGGTTTACTCACATTTTCAACCAATACAAACTGCACGACAGCTCTTGTTGAGTGCTTCAAATGTACTATAAAAGTAAATGGTAAGGAGGAGGAGACCTTTTCTTAATCACTTGCAACCCTGCCTTGAAAGAAAGCACACAGGTCATCCTTTTCCCTCACCCAAATGTGACATTAAATAGATGAATACAATCTTAAAAGATAACACTTTTGATCTGGTTCATTGCCAGTTTGTTGCCGTTTATATAGTTTAATAAATCCACAAAGTGTTGCAGTAAATAAATTGCAAATAAAGTTTTTCCAGTTTTTTTTTTAAATGATCATCCAAGATCCTAGGTTGGTTTTCTTTTTTAATGTAACCACCTGTAGATGCATCCTAGTTCATTCAAAGGTTAAAAATGCAGTATGTCATCCTTGAAATGTTTCGTGAGTTACCATGAACAACACCATTAATATTTTGATATGTTTTACCTCCCTCCATATCCGATTTATCCAATGTGTGCTCATTATTGTGTTTTATGATTTGTTTTTAATCCAATCCTCCTTCTCTGAACCCTTTTTCCCTATCCTCTGTCCAAACCCCCCCCCCAATCCTTTTAGGCATGAACAACCGTGAGGTGTTGGAGCAGGTGGAGCGGGGCTACAGGATGCCCTGCGCCCCGGGCAGCCCCGCCTCGCTCCATGAACTGATGGTGCAGTGCTGGAGGCGTGAGGCCGACGAGAGGCACACCTTCGAGTACCTGCAGTCCTTCCTGGAGGATTACTTCACGGCCACAGAGCCGCAGTACCAGCCCGGAGACAACCTGTGACCGCACAACGCGCAGGACAGATGTGGAGCAATAAATGGACAAACAGAGAGACAGACAGATGTGGACGTATTACATGCAGATACACTGATATGCCTTTGTTATATTTGTTCCACACTTATTGTACATGCACACATATTAAGATACATATCATTGCCTTGTTCTATTGTTTTAAAGACAGTTTCCTCCTTTTTGATTATTGATCACTGCAGCTTGAGGAACGATCAGCCAACCACATTGAAGCGTCAGAGCTCTGCTGATCAGGCCTCACAGTAATGTTGCTTTACTCTGTAACCATGACAACAAGGAACAGAAAGAAGAAGTAGCTGGTTGAGGGGGGGGGGGAGTCGAGTTGGTACATGATGTGTTCAGCTGCCATATGTGCATTGTGCAGATCCTTCTGATTCCTCTGAAGAAACGTGTAGCAGGGCAACTGTTTGATAAATATATGGATCCATAAAAGGTAAAAGCTGCAACAGGTTTCAGAAAACAGGAAGTGAACCCTGTGACGTGGGACGTACAGCGGCAAAAGATTAGTTAACTAGTCGATTTGCGCATCAAAAAATAAGTAATTGCCAACCATTTTGCCAATCAAAAAAATCGTTATTTTAGAAAGTGCTGTTTTCAGTATCTAAAATATGGAGATGTTCTGCTTTTCTCAGTTTTATTTCATGTTAAAATGAATATGTTTGGGTTTGGGAAAAACAGTCTACCACTCAGCCTGTCTCACACTCAGCCTGTCTCACACTCAGCCTGTCTCACACTCAGCCTGTCTCACACTCAGCCTGTCTCACACTGTCTCACATTCAGCCTGTCTCACATTCAGCCAGTCTCACACTCAGCATGACATTTAAATACTTCACCTTGGACAGAGACAAATGGGTTGGATATTTTTTACTATTGTGACATTATAATAATGAACAGATAAATCGAAAACGAAAGTCTTTAATTGCCGCATTACTGTAAGGTATTTTATGTACACAGACATTTGAGGTTAAATAAAATTCCTCCTCAAACTGTAATCTGACTAATAAATAAAAAAGCTTTTGTCATGTCAATCTCCTGAAAGAGGGAACTGGTTTGCAACTGTGCCTTAAAGTGGTCAAAATATGGATCTGCGTTACCTTCAATACTATGTTAGTAAAGTCTGAGAGGAGAGGTGGAAAGGACTGCTTTTTGTTTTTCTGATCATTTCTATTAGAATTTTGTTAGAACTGTCTCTTTTGCTGTTTTAATTTAACGCAGATAGGTCTGTGCATCACAAAGACTTTTATATCTAGTTACCATGTAGTTTTCATCCATTGGGAAGGCAGAATGCAATGTTACACATAAAGGGAATGATCAATGTCCGTGGACCCTGGACAGACAGGGTTTCAAATATGTTATTTGACAAGAGTGTAACCTTTATGTGATTTTATGAGATGCCCCTGTCATGTTATTGTAATAAAGATCAAATATCTTTACTGGGTTAATTAATGTCTCTTTTTCTGTGTGTTTTTGGACATTTGCGTTTTCTGGTTTGATGCTTCCTCCTTAGATTATGTCAAAGAAAGATGCCATCGCATTGCAATTTACAAAGAGGAATAACACTTTCCTTTGGTCTGCATTTACATTTGTAGGCCTATGATCCTTTTTTAGTATTTTCATGAAGTAACATTTGAAAGCTTGTGTGAGGATTTATTCTTCAGTTTTTTGCTTTAAGGAAACAACAATATGTACAAAAGGTAAATACATTTGTTGTCCCTTGAGGCAATTTAGTATAGACCACGCGTAAATAATTTTTTTACTTTAGGTTTTATAATAAAATATAATTATCATTAGTCTCTATTCCATCCCTTTCAGTGGCAGTTCCTCCCACTGTTGTCTGTGTATCTCTTCCTCATAAAGCCTGCTCTCTTTCAGTTGCAAGTAAACTACTGTTCCCACAATTCCACAAGTGTGAAGTGAGGCCAGCTACGGGTGCCCGGATGGCTTTGACAGTCAGGCACGTTGGAGAGGCACAGCGGAGACTGGGGCGCACGAGAGACGGAGAGCTGGAATTGCAGAGGCAGAGACGCACACCGTGTTCGCCTCCCGCATACCGTGGAGTTCCGTGCCTGTCACCAAAACCGAAGCACAGGGCTCGAACGCGGTAATGTCTGCACTTTATTTGCGGACAAGACTGTGAAGCAACCTCCCAGCTCTCCATTATTTAATCTTTTTCCCTCCTTTTGTGTTTTGCTTTCCCATCTTTGTGGGTGCAGAGATTGTTGTGAGCGAGAGGAGCGGTTTTTCCATTGAGCCATTCGAGACGGTGGCGCGAGACAGCAGGACGAGACGTTTACATTGGTTTGGGAGGAGGGCTGTCTGGGGAGACCAGATGAAGGGGACATGCTGACGGCTGCAGTGGCTCCGTGACCCGGGAGAGGACCGGAGCAGCGTCACCAACCACTGCGCGAGCCAGCGTTGACACCGCAACAGCTCGAGCATCCAGCGCGAGCCCCCAGACTCTCTCTCTCCCTTGGTGAGTGCGCGTGCAGCATCTTGTGTACACAACATAAAAAAATAGCCTAGTGTCCGCTCAGCCAGTTGTGCTGCGCACCTCTGGCTACGTTTCCTTTTTGAGTTTTTACATTAACCACGTCGCTGCCAACGACGGACTGAGCTCTGCATTCGTGCAGCTGGGTCATCTTTACTGTGGGCATGCAGCGTGTGTGGTGGGGTTTTAAATGATGATCTTGAAAACACAAATATAATGTCTTTAAATGTTCGCGTAATGAAGTATCCCGCCTGTAATTTCTATGTGAGTTTTGGCAATATCCTAAGCACTTATTAGCCTCATTATAGCAGCATTGATACAGTAAAGGCAGAGCAACAGTATATAGTACCTCAGGTACTGTCACACATACACACACCCATACACACACACACACACACACACACACACACACACACACACACACACACACACACACACACACACACACACACACACACACATGTGCACAACTGTACATAGACACATTGATTGGTGATTTATCTCTATTGATTTCCACTGGTGTCCTGGTCTTTTTGGAAGTTTTGTTTAGGATAGTTTAACCTGTTGAATAGCGGCTAAGTTAAATTTAATAGATGCTGATGCATCATGTCTAAACATGTTTACCAAAAAAATGTTTTTCCTTCCTTCATTGTTTGCTAGTTAAATTCAGGATTGATTAAATAATCTTTTGAGGCTCAAAATACGGCCCCCCAGTTGTATTACCAATCTTTTGACTCCCAAAATTCCAAGTCCTCAGATCCTTAAGCCCCGCTGGTTGTCCACAGGTCAAGGCTGAACTAATGTGACCGGGTGTTTGCCATCAGTATCTCTAGATTTCTTTCTCTTCCTGAAAAGATTGAGCTTGACAGCATATTTACCTGTTTTGAAATCATTTCTTAAAACATATTTGTATAGAAATGCCTTTTTCAATGCGAGATTTGTAACTTTTATTTAGCTTTGTCAGTCAATCAATCAATCAACATTATTTTTTTATAGAGCCCAATTTCCCAAATTACCTACTCTGTTCTCAGACTCTTTAAGTGCAAAAAACTGCTCAAAAGAAACGCCACAATTACGGGGTTGACATAGAAACCTGAAACAGGGATTCCTCTAACACAAGGACACAAGGACAGACGTGAAATGATGTCCTTTATGTTTCTTTTGTTATGTTTAGCTTTTTGTCCACACTTTCCTTTTAGTGTTTTTTTACCATTAAACTAAAGTTGTATAGTTTTATAAATATGTACTTATTTTTGGGTTTCTTCACATACTTTTGCACTCAGAACGTTTTATACAAATAGGATTATAGTTATTATAAATATAATTATTGTATTTACCATATTACCTTAAGTTACAGAGACCATCTGAACCCGGCTCCCTGACAGAGCTTCAGTAATCTATAAATCAGATACCAGATTTACTAACGCTGAATTTCCCCAAAAATATTGGGCATATAACGCATCTCATTTTAGGAATTTGGCTTCTAGCTGCGCTCACGATTTGTCAAACGCAACAAAGAGCTTTTCTCTTTGCTTACAGACGTTTTGTGAAAGTCAGCTGAAGATCAATCTGGCACTTTCCCTTTGAACTATTCAAAACACATTTATATATGACTGCCGTTTAGGAAAAGGGATTTTATTCCAGTGTTGTGAATGAGCCAGGCCATTTACTCAGCACTTGAAATCCAACCCAAAATACATAAGAAACTGATTTAGGGCACAGATACAAATAAAAAATGTCTTTGTAGAGAAAAAAACGGACTCGTTATGAGCTTTAAGCTACATTCAGATGTTATATCTATCAGAATATGACTAGTTGTACTAAGATACACAATACACACATGTTTCTTTTACTGTTGTTTCCAAATCAGAGATGTTATACTGTAAGGTTTCCATTGTCTGCTGTCCAAAAACGTCTTAAAGTTCAATAAGACGTTAATATTGACTAATTGCTCATGTTCTGAATATTTCTTCCTCTTTTAATATTTTCCACAACGAGCAACTGGATGAAACAATTAGTCATTACTTTGTCCTTGCAGTGTAGGGTCCTGTCTTTTATGACTCCTATTAATCTAATCGTCACCTGAAGTGAAATAGCTCCACCCCTAACCACACACACACACGCACACACGCACGCATGCACACACACACACACACACACACACACACACACACACACACACACACACACACACACACACACACACACAAACACAGCAGCCATTTAGCATTAGTGTAAGCAGTGTTTGTGCTCCATTCTATCACCTCCCACACGATACATTCATAAAACCTCTCCTCCGCGTCATTGGCAAAAAAAACATCTCCCTTTTCTTTCCTCTCGCATCCTTCACTCTTTTAACCCCTCTGCCCCCCCCCATCTTTGCTTTAGTCAGTCCTTTTTTCTTCTTCTTCAACTTATCTCCCTCTCTCCTTCCCTCCCACCTTTCCTGTATGTCCTTCCTCACCTACCTCCCCATTCTGCTCATTCTCCTTTTCTTCCTCACCCCCCACAGGGCTGGTTGCAGCCGGTTTGAGTCTGACAGTGGAGAGGAAGCTTCGACCTTTCACCTCCAGAGGATGGAGGGAGGGAGACGAGAGGAGAGGGATGATGGAGAGCAGCGGGGTGGAGGGGGGGTTGAAACTGCGAGAGGCGAGGGAGAGGTCAAAGAACAGGAGGGATTTGCGAAGGGAGAGGAGAGAGCTCGGGGGGGGAGGGACTGAGAGAGAGGACGGAGGGGTCAGGGAGGAAGAGGAGTGATAAATGAAGGGGGAGCGGCGAGATGGAAGGATGAGGAGAGAGAGGATGAGAGGGAGAAGAAGAAGAGAGAGTGTGAAGCTGCTGTGTACCTCCCTAACAAGCTGGACAGAATCAGCTCAATTATTAAAGAGGAGCGAGAGATTGGGAAAACAAGCAGACACACACGCACAAAAAAGCATCTCTTGGTGTCTGGCACACAACACATACTCGCTGTGTCTCACAAACACAATCATTTGCTCATCCACACACACGTGCACACACACATCCACACACACATGCACACACACATGCACACACACATCCACACACACACACATGCACACACACATGTACAGTGTGTCTGATTTCTTATGCTTGTGCGTCAGCGTGCTAGTTATCTTTGTTTTTAGCTGCATGTGAGTGTGCGTACACATGTGTCTGGGTATGTGTGTTAAAAACAGTGAGTCAGAGGATAAGCAGAGACTTGTTAGTGATTCTCCTCAACACCCCCGAAGCCCCCACCCCCCTCCCCACACACACACACACACATACTCTCTACCCAATTTGGCTTCAGCACCGTCTCAGCGTTCCACCAGCGTGGCTTCAATGTCGTCCCATCAATATGAACAGATAATCAGAGCACTAAGGGGTCTGTCTATAAATCCCCACTGAATATAGTTTTTTGACCCTCTCCTCTTTCTCTCTCTCCCTTCCTCTCCTTCTTCCTCTTCCTCTTGTTTCTAGTTCTCTTTCTTCCCTCCCTTTTCCCTCCTTCTCTGAGGAAGTGTATGCCCCCAAGGGACGAAAAAGATTCGCTACCTTCCAGAAGAGAAGGTAGCGAATCTCTCTCTCTCTCTCTCTCTCTCTCTCTCTCTCTCTCTCTCTCTCTCTCTCTCTCTCTCTCTCTCTGTGTGAATGTGTGTTGTCCATATGTGTGTGTGTGAGAGTGAGAAAACACACTTCCTGAGACAGAAAGGCAGAGAGAGAGAGGCATGGATGAGCAATTGAAGAGCGGGTGAGAGAGTGAAAGCAGGAGGCTGTGGAGGGGGAGGAGAGAGAAAGAGATAAGAGAGAAAGACAGAGAGTAGTCTGGGAGAAGGGGGAAGATGGATGAATGTACTGCGCACTGAATGTGTGTGTGTTCTTTTGTGTGTGTGTGTGTGTGTGTGTGTGTGTGTGTGTGTGTGTGTGTGTGTGTGTGTGTGTGTGTGT